TGGGAAATCCACAGGTTTTAATTCTAAATAAATTTCTTGTACTTTATCTAGCAGTATCATCACCAGTATATGATACACTGGAAAAGGCCCCTTCTCCTTCAATATTCACCTCTGAATTTTTGGCATTACTCTCAGCTTTCCAGTGTAGATCATAGGCAAAGACAATAGAAATTTGCAGGTGTCAAAAGTTGTGGGTATAGGTTCTATTAATAGTTTTCTTACCATAGTTTTCTAAAAGAAGTGTTAAAATCATAGTACCAGTATTACTGAATTAGATTTTTAATTATTGACCTTGAATCAAAATTACAGTGTTAGGGCCAGGTATTACCTTGATTTACAGTAGATCTCCAGCAGATAACAATGGAAATTTTACATGATGACTGAAGGTAAATATGACCTTTATACAGTAAAGATGCACTCATTTATATGGCGGTTGGGGTGCATCAGCGAGGTAAACTGGAATTGCCCCCATGAAGTCATTTGAAAGAGACTTGTGGAATAGTGTTGAAATCAATAAAATACTGTTCAATGTGATTAAAGGTGTTGGAATGTAGTTCTTATTTAACAAATTAATATTAAACAAAAACTTGTGATGGGCATGTCTAACACAATTTCTGCTACTGTTTTCGAAGGTTATTTGCAAGTTCAGTTATCCAGTCCGGATGCATATGAAAATAACTTGTGCAGTTGCACGACCAATTTCTTTGGAAATTGGCTCCTTTAAAACATAACCATTGGGCAGCAGAATCAAAACCTATTTTCTAAAATAAAATCACTTGTGTGAAAATGAAATCTTTCTGCAGGATCTGAATCTGTCATGGGGCTGGGGATTTGACATCCTGGCCATCTAACACCATTTTTAGAAATTATGCCTATCTAGCCCTTTGGACTGTGAAGAAAATTTCACAATGCAAACCAGGGCAGTGTTGTTTTCTAGAATCTGTGGACAGGCAGAAGGAAATCATATTGCACCAAGGCTGTGTCTAGACTACATGCCTTTTTCAAAAGAGGCTTTTTCAAAAGAGATCATTCAAAAGAGAGAGTATCTTTTGAAAAAGCCTCTTTCGAAAATGAGTGTCTAGACTACAATCAGTACTTTCAAAAAAGCAAGCCGTTTTTTCAAAAGAGAACACCCAGGCAGTCTGGATGCTCTCTTTCGAAAAAGCACAGTTTGCATTACATAGAGCCTTTTTTCGAAAGAGCACTTTTGAAACAAGGCATTATTTGTCGTAAAACGAGGTTTTCTGCAGTTGACAAAACCACCACGTTCCTTCGATTTACTGTTGACAGAACGCAGCAGCAGTCTAGACGCAGGTAAAGATTTTTCAAAAAAAGGCCACTTTTTTCAAAAAATCCCTGTAGTATAGATACATCCCAAGAGAGGTTTGATTTTTCCCTATATATTATAATAGGGTATCAGTCTTCAAGCATACTTATGACCATTGATAATTCACATAACAGGTGCATATTATCCAGCAGAGGCGTATGTCCAGTGTAGTCAGATACTGTTTGATCTATTTGATTTGTCTACATAGATATTCTATAAAAGCAGCTGATGTTATATAAATGTTTAAGAACCGGTAAAGGAAATAAAGAAGCTGGTGTCAGTGCTGGTATTTATTTACAAGACCCATGGAAATTTGTAATAGAACAAAAAATGAATGGTACTAATTTGGTTAGTTCATGGTTTTGTTTTTTTTTAATGAACTGCTATTCATAACCTTTTTTACAGGATTAATTGGAATGAGGAAGGATTTATTTTTCTGTGGAGAAGAATAAAGCATTATGATCTATTTTTCATTTTCTTGCCAAATCCATAAAAATAAATCAACAGAATCCCCATTTGTTAGATTTGGAAAACCTTAATTTTAAAGAATTTGCTTCAAAACTGCAGATACTACAACGCATAATTGGAAGTTCCTTATAAAATATTTTAGGGTGAAATTCAAAATATTTCTGTGTCCCCCAGGCAAAATTTTCTTCAGCTACAGACTAGCTCATAAAATGAGCTGGTTTGCACCCTCATAAAAGTGAGTGGCTGCATGTTTTCTGCAAATGATTAGTTGCGCACCCACTTTTGCAGGTGCAGACCATGGTACATTCAGAAATGGAGGCTGTATAATTGCTTGATTTGCATGCAGAACGTTTTCTTTACATCCAAATGCAGGACACTGTGATTGTGATTGTGTTGGAATTACAATACATCTGCAGTTAGTTCATATCTCTCACATTGTACAAGGCTTTAAGAATATGACCTTTAATGCTGACACTTACTAGCAGGGTCATCTGTAGTAAGATGTAGGGGCTGGAACAGCACCTTCTCCATCCCACCCCCACCTGCCTCTTTCTGTCCCTGCTCTGGCCTGCTCCCACTCCATCCCTTTCCTCAAAAGCCCACTCAACCCCTTCCCACACCACTCCAAACCCCCTCCCCATTCTGCCCTTTTCCCAAAGTCTCTGACTCCTCCTTGGAGCCTATGAGGTGGAGCAGAGTGTGGTTGGTAGCACTGCTGCCGGCCCCTACACTGTCCAGGCCCCACATCTCCCTGAAGTGTTGCCTTCCCCCCCCCCTCAAAGCGTGAGGACTGAGGCAACCACCTCATGCCACCCAATGGATGGGTTGGCTCTGTCCATTGGGTGGAGACAAGATGGGTGAGGTAATATCTTCTATTGAGCCAACTTTTGCTGGTGAAAGAGAGAAGCTTTTCAGCCCTACTCTTCTTCAGATCTGGGAAGGGTACTCAGAGTGTCACAGCTAAAAACAAGGTGGAACAGATTAGTTAGCATATATAATGAACACATTCTAAAAGACCATTCAAGATGAAGTAGTCTGTTAACACCTCTGCAGTTAGGGTTAGTGGGTTACAGATTGGGATAATAATCCTTAAATCCAGTATGTTTATCGAGACCATGATTTTCAATACCTAGCAAAATTATGAATTCAAACATTCAAAGATTGTCTTTTGAGGGTGTTGGTGTGCAGGGTTTCAATAAGGATTGAGAGGTCAGTCTCTTATCATTTTCTTTGTGATTTAATTCCAAAGCATGGTGATCTAGGGTATGTCTACACTACCCCGTTAGTTCGAACTACCTAGTTCGTGCCGCGTGTAGCCGTGCGGCACGGGGTTCGAACCAGTGGGGATTTAAAAATGGCGGCGCCCGCTTATGCAAATGAAGCCCGGGAAATTCAAATCCCGGGCTTCATTTGCAATTGCAGTATGCCTACATTACCCTCCTATTTCAAAATAGGAGGGTAGTGTAGACATACCCTGCTTTACTTAACCACCTCTCAGATGTGTAGCTGTTAGTCTGTAACTTTAAAAAAACGAGGAGTCCTGTAGCACCTTAGGCCATGTTTACACTAGGAAATTATTTCAAAACAACTTATTTTGAAATAATGACTCCCAAAATAACTATTTCAATATAAGCTTATTCCCCCCAGAAAGCAGGAGTACAGATTTCAAAATAACCAGCTTGAAATAACAAGCTTGCTGGATCTTGAGAGGTGTGTTTGTAGGAGGTTTTTATCATGATAGCAGTAGTTATATGAATGCAGGGTTTGCATCTCTGAGTAAGGCAGGGTCTGGTGCCACTTTGAGTTTGTGTGGCCTGACCTGTGAGAAGCTGGCTTCTGATAATGACCTTGGCCTTCAACAACCATCCATCCATCAGACGGTCTCTAGAAATCTCTCACACCAGCATCAGCTTCCTGGACACCACAATCAACTTCTTGAATAGAACTTTACAGACAATCACAGACAAGAAACCCATGGATCAGCACCCTAACCTTCATAGATCCAGTACCTATCCAAAACACTCCAAGAAATCTATTCAGGAATTCTAATGCCACAGAACATGCTATGAGGAGAAAGTCTGGGATATGTACCTTAACACACTTAGCTGCCTTCATCAAACAAAGGCACTCCACCAAAGAAATAAATTGCATCATGAAATGGGCCATCCAAATGCATCAAGAGAACCTGCCTCAATTTAGAAAGTACCCACTTCCAATCACATACCCTATCATGCCACACTGGAACCCATATAAGATATCATTAAACAATTACAACTCGTAAGCTATGGGGACCATATCCTGAAATTTTTTTTCTTGAGCCTTCTCTTCCTGGCCTTCAAACAACTAAACTTGCCAAGCTCATTATCATAACAAGCTCCCTGCAGATTAGGAACCCACAAAATAGCATCAGATCTGCCATAACAGATGCAAACTGTATCTCCACTGCTCCGGTAACCCCCACAACATATCTTTTGAGGTCCATGGGTACCTTTCCCATATCTGAAGAAACTCAAAAACTTCAATAAAAGTGTTACCACACCCACCTTGTCTTTCTGCCATCCTGGATTCAGTGCCACTACACCACCATACTGACTCAAATTGCCATGTAACCCTTTACAAATGACATACTGTATTTATTAAAATATCTGGCAGGTGTAAAATACGAATATACTATAAATATTAAACTATCATTGTTTACACTGCTAATTCATGTTGACGTGAGAGAAGGAAATAGAGGCAAGCAATATAACTACATGAAAATAATATGCTGAAACAACCACGGTTGCTGCTAACTGGAGTTTTGCATCTAATTTAACACACCCTTGTAAAGTGTCAGTTCTTCCCCTTTTCTTACCTGTGTGTAGCTCTCACTAACTTAAGTGGCTCTGCATTTGCGAGTCCTTGTAAAAGTCAATCTTTCACTGACGTTACCCTGTGCAAGGACTGCTAACTCCAACCGCTTTCTTGGTGTGAAGAAATTGTAAGTGAATGCCTCGCCATCATTTCTCCTCAACGTTGAAGTTAAGGATATGTTTCATTACCTGCTGTGTTTGAAGGAGAGTAAACTCTTATATTGTTGAACTATGTTCATCTTTTCTCCTGGAAAACTGACAGAGAAATACATTTTATTTTCCATATGCAGCATTATTTTCCAGTGTTTTAAATTTTTGCTTAACTACATTTTTATTTCTCACAAACTATTCAGGATGCTACCATTGACGGGACAGCATGCAGTGCACCTTCTATTGTTCTTCCAGAGAATGCTGTAATGCCAGATGTAGAAATTGAAGTCAACAGGTATTACGTATAATACATGTGTTACCAGTTTATACATAACCAGTGTAATACTTCTAAGGCACACATTTCAAAGAATCTGTTTTGAAATTTACATCATTTTACAGAAATCAGCATTTCATTTTTATTTCTAACTAGAAGATTTACCTGGCATTGCTCAGGTCCTTAACTCAATTAATTTTTGTTTTTGGAAAAACAAAATGAAATTGTACATGCTTCCTTTAAATCAGTGCTCTGGGGTGAGCCTGGGGATGCGGGGTTCAATATGCAGGCTACCCCAGGCAGAGAGGACTATCCCAGTCTTCTCTCATGGCAGTATCTTGGGGCCAAGTGAGAAGTGCGTCTCCTTGGCCACTTCAGCTTCACCAGGCACAACCAAAGGAAAGGTGCATGTCTCCCGGCTGGGACAGGTCCAGGTTATTCTGCCCCCTGTGCTCCCCAGCCAGAGGAAAGCAGCAAAGTGTGCACTTTCCCCCGGCTCCCTGACAAAGGGGAACAGCCAGCAATGTTCCAGTATGAATTTAGCGGGGGAGCTTCAGCCCTTCTCTAAAGGGTGCCTGGATGATGGGAGGTTTGGGGCTAAGGCAGTCCATATGGGGAAGCACCCCCATCTAATTCTTTTCACCTGCCTGGTGATTGTTTCTTTTCTGTGTGGTTTTCTGAGAAGCAATCCCATTCCAGGCACATCCCATTTTCCTGGCACAAACAATCCCTTATCTTACTTTAAGTTCTGATAAGAGGAAGCTAAATACCAAATTTGGTGGTTCTAGCTCTTATAGTTTAGGAGGAATTCTTAAACGAACAGACAGACAATCTCTCTCAAATATATAGTAGACTAATTATAGTAGACTAGTTATATTGTCTTTATAGTTCTATGCCTATTTTTAACACGAGGAAGTGGCATTACAGAGATATTAATTATGATATCAAAGGAATATTTACATGACTCAGTCCTGTGACCTAACTCTGGGAATAATCTCAATGAAGTCTGTAGGAGTTTGACATGAGCAAGGGTTGCTTACATAAATTTGCTAATCTTTCAAATTAACGTAATTTAAATATTAAGCACACACAAGATTAAAATGCCTATGGAAATAGACTTTTCACATCATATCAACCCAGTTTGACAACTACTCCTCATGGAAGCAGACGTTCTTCACATGAATAACTCGAATGAGTCAGCCTTGTGAGTCAAGGTTGCTGCTGCTCTCCCTTTGGCATGTGCAGGGAGGCCAACGGACTTGCTGTGCTTCAAAAAAGGGCAGGGCCTTGGGCACAAGGGATGGGGTTGAGGCAGCTAGCCCTCAGCACTGCGCAGAGCATGCCACACTGTGACCCTTCCCTCCAGCCAGCCCTCAGAGCCGTCCAGAGTGTGCCACATGGTGCTCCTGGGAGCCCCAGGCTCTTTAGAATTGCTGGGGTCCAGGCATACTGCTGTCTTGGACCCTGCTGTCAGTGGGCCTGGTCATATGATGGTATGTCCTGAAAACTTAGCTCTTGTGCTGTGCTTGTGGGGACCTGTAACGATTGTGCAAAGACTAGTCCTACCATGCACTTTACGCCATGCAAAGTGTCCCAGACCCTTTGACAATACCTCCTGCATGACCACTGGAGGAGCATAGGTTGGGCTGCTTGGAAAGGGCTCGTATCTCAGGAGGCAGGCTCAAATTCTTCCATGAGCTCCTCATAGAGCAGTATACTCCCTAGTCAGTTCAATAGAAAAATCCTATGATTTAGCCTATTACTTGTAGTTGGGAGGGGGCATATCCTGATGATTTTACTCACACAAGTGAATATTGGCATATGTGAGGCGAGGAGGATTTGGTCCAAAATGAAAATATATTTTCTATTCAAATCCTTAACATATATTGTTCCTCCTTGTTAGCTCATACTCATGTAGCTTAATCAGGCTACATCTAGACTATGAAGAAGATTGACACTACAGTGATCAATCTTCTGGCATTCGATTTAGCAGCTCTAGTAAAGACCCTCCAAATTGAACACTGAGGTTGCCCCTGTCAACACCAGAATTCCTACCATGAGAAGTAAGGGAAGTTGATGGGAGCATTTCGGTGAGGTTGGCACTGAAGCTCGGCTTAAGGTATGTTGATTCCAGCTATGTTTTTTATGTAGCTGGAATTGCATACCTTAAGCTGATCTTCAGCTATAGTGTAGATCTGGCCTGAGTGTATACAATTTGCGTAGTTTGAAACTGATTATTCTACTCCCTTTTTGTTACCCAACTAATAAGAATACTGTATTAAATTATGCCCGCTACTATTGTATCTTAACATCATGCAGAAAAGTTTATATATATATATATATATTAAAAGTCATATTAAATAGACCCTATAGCCTATTTTGCAAAATCTATGTATCAACACAATATTTTGTACTTAGAAAAATCAAGAACATTCCATTTATTTGAAGATTAAATTAGTAAAGAATTCAACAACAAAAATTAACTAAAATTTTAAGCAGAACTTGTATTTATAGTGTGTAAGAAAAATATAGTTACAAGGCTTATCTGTAATGGAAGGTAATTTCCAAAGAAATCAAGTAAACAAAATGCTTCACAAGTTGTACTGGCTGCCTTTGCAAATACTTTTATTTGATTTGCTTTATTCTTATATTTTGCATTTTATGTTTTCATGCATTGCTAAAAATGCTCAATGATTTCTCTTGGTATATTTAGTAAATGACATCTGTTAGATGTACAGGTTTAACCTCTGTAGTCTGGCATCCTTGGGAATTTGCCAAACCACAGGAGATCTATATTATCTAGCAGCATGACCAACACTTCCACTGTTTACTGGTCTCTCAGGCTTTGTCTACACTGCCGGTGTTTGCTGGCAGAGAGTATGGAAATGAAGCGCTGATTAGCATTTTGTCACACTTCATTTGCATAATCTAGTTGAGCCGTTTTTTTGCAAGGGGTTTTTGTGCAAAAACAAGCAGGGTGGACGTTTCCTTTTTGCTCAGAAACCTCGAATCCTGTGTGGCCGGCAGGCCAGTGGGCTTCCCACAATGACCCACCATCAGCGTGTGGCAGCAGGTCTGCCCAGTGGGGTTGTGAGACATGTGCCCTGCAGGTCCTGGATCCCCTATATGGCTGCCTGGCAGGACCTGGATCCCCCACACAGTACACACAGCTGCCTGCAGGACCTGGAGCCCCAGTGCAGAACACACGGCTCCCCGGTGGGACCTGGAGCCCCAGCACTGCACGCATGGGTGCCCTGTGAGTCTCAGAGCTAGGGCAGCAATGGCTGCTCAGTGGGGTCAGCAGGACAGTGGTGCCAGCAGGAGGTGAGGAGCCATCCGGGAGGCTAGCAGGATGGGTGGGAGGGCCGGCAGCTGGGGGTCCAGAAATGACCTCCCCTAGTCCAGCAAAATCCCTCCTCTGTAAATGGTCAGGTCCCGAGGGTGCCAGACCAGAGAGATCCAAACTCTAATACCATCACTGTTCAGCAAAGCACTTAAGCATTGAAGTCAATGGAATGTAAATCTTATCTTAAAATTATGCATATGCTTAAATGATTTGTTTAACAAGGATTATCAATATGATTAAAGTTAAGAAAAAGTTTAAATCTGCTGAATCAGGGCCACTATTATGAGTTTTTTGAGCTACCCAGTTCCACATTTTGATGTGATTTAACATCTATTTTTAAATAATTGATTTTTTTATCTCAGAAAAAACAAATAATCGCAACAAATTATCAGTTTACACATACTGAAAAATATTTCTTGCCATGAACTACATTTCCATCAGTCTTAGATTATACAAGACACTGAACTTAAAAGGTATAGCTTTGCTGAAAAATTGTGGATACATTTATGGAATATAAGGTTATCAGTAAAAGACAAAACATCTATCAGTTGAGAGTGGGGTTTTTTTTCAGTACACTGCTTCCTTGATTTTTCCTTTGTTTAGAAAAGTATCAGAGGAATCTCAGCAAAGCAAGCACATTTATTTTAAATCTAATCCAACTCCCACAGAGGTCAAAGGGAATGTTTTCATTGATTTTAATTGGATTATTCTTTAGTGAAAGGATTCAACTATATAAACCTTTTTCAATAAAGCAGTTCAGAACTTTGAAGAGAGGATGATTGCTTGTCTTATCCCAGGTTTGGAAAACTTAAAATATCTGAAATATGAAGCTTGTGTAATTCACTTTTATGGGAAAACTAATACAAACCTTTATCAATTTGAGCATAGCATATTTTTATTTTATGTTCTGAGACAATAGTTAATTGTATATTAAATAATGATTTGGGAGAGAGAAGGAAAGTTAGTTAGTTTTACATTGTGTTTTCCAAAAGGTGTACCAGGAAATTAGAAAAAAAATGTTACGTTAGGATTAATATATATGATGAAATCATGTATTTTAATTTCTTCCTTGTTGCTTACTGCTGCGTTTTGTTTTGTTTTTCCTTAGACCTCATAGTCCTCATCTGAGGCATTCTAACCGACATACTAGGAATTCTGTCAATTCACTAACTTCAGTTGGTAAGACCTAGTTCTGCTAATGTGAATGTTAATTAATGTTAGTATCTTTTTCTGAAAACAAAATCTGACGTGCAAATAAGATTTAAGTGGAGCGACTGTTTTACATCAGTGGAGAGTCCATCCCACAGAAATTGGAATGACTGTGTAATCCCTCTCTTGTGCACACTGAGGCTACACCTGCACTGCAGTGCTATTGTAAAGGCCTCGCTATTCCGACGTCCCTATAAACCTCATTACAGGAAGATTAAGGGACATTTTGGAAAGGGAATTCATTTTGAAATGAGTGCTGTGTAGACAGTGCCAAATTTCAAAATAAGCTATTTCAAAATTGACTCAAAATAAGCTATGCAATTTGCATAGCTCAAATTGCTTAGCTTACTTTGAGCTAAGGGTGCTATGTAGATGCACTCAGGATACATCTGCACAGCAGGAAAAAAACTTGAAATAAGCTACACAACTAGAGCTACACTAATTATGTAGCTTAAGTCTAAATGGCTTATTTTGAATTTGGGCATGTCTACACAGCACTTATTTCGAAATAGAGCACTCTTCCTCCAGCTTCCCTTACTCCTCGTACAATGAGGTTTACAGAAGTTGGAGTAAGAAGCCTGTTATTTTGAATTTATTTTTAAATAATGGGCTTGCTGTGTAGACACACAAAACGTTCTTCTTTGAGTGCTTGCTCATGTGTATTCAAATTTGGTGTGCGTGTGCCACATGCATAGATTCCAGATCCTTTTTTCTCCAGCGGTATCGGTCAGGCCAGCAAGTCGAATCGTTGGCCACATGTTAGCTTAGACACTTAGGCTATGTTTACACTCGCGGCTTCTTGCGCAAGTATGGCGGTTCTTGCGCAAGAATCAGCAGAGCGTCCACATTGCCCGCCCGCTCTTGCACAAGGAAATTTACAGTACAGCGTGGTAAGAGAGGTCTTCTTGCGCAAGAGCTACGCTCTTTTTTAACAGGTGTAAGCCCTCTTGCGCAGGAGCTCTTACGCAAGCGGGCAGTGTGGACATTCAGCAAGGATTTCTTGCGCAAGAAAGCCCTATGGCTAAAATGGCCACCAGAGCTTTCTTGCACAAGAGAGCGTCCACACTGCCATGGATGCTCTTGTGCAAAAGCACAGCGCAAGAAGCCGCGAGTGTAGACATAGCCATATTGTTCAAAGTGGCCTTTATTGTGGCTATCACGTCAGAAAGGAGGGTATCAGAACTCAGGGCACTAATGGTCAACCCTCCATATGTGGTTTTTTCAGCGGACAGGCTGTGTCTGCGCCCCCATCCGGCTTTCCTCCCTAAATTGGTGTCCGCATTCCATACATGGCAGGATATTTACTTACCAGTATTCTTCCCAGAGCCCCATGCAACCTCTAGGTAGCGAGCCCTACACTTGCTAGACACAAAGCGCATGCTGGCGTTTTACATTGATAGAACAAGAGAGTTTCCCAGATCACCTCAACTCTTTATTTCAATAGAGGAAAGAGTTAAAGGCATGCCAGTATCGGCACAGCAGTTGTCTTCCTGGATTACATCCTGTATCAGGGAATGTTACGAACTGGCAGGCAAGGTACTGCCTCACATCACAGCTCCCTGCACTCAGGTGCAGGCCTCCTCAGCAGTTTTTCTGGCGCAGGTTCCTATAGTGGATATCTGTAGAGCAGCCACATGGTCATCAGTGCACACGTTTGCAGCACATTATGCGATCCCCCGACAAGCTAGGGAGGATGCAGCCCTGAGCATTGTGGTACTGCAATCAATTCTGCCTTAACCTGTATTGTTCTCCAACCCCGCCTCCATTAGGCTACGGAGTCACCTAATTCAAATGCACATGAGCAAGCATTTGAAAAAGAAAAAATCGATTACTAACCTGTAATTGTTGTTCTTCGAGATGTATTGCTCATGTCTGTTTGACACCCCCCTACCTCTTCTTCGTCGGAGTTTTCTGGCAAGAAGGAACTGAGGGAGGGAACAGCCAGCAGGGATACTTATTCACCATTATGTCGGCGCCACTCTAGGGGCTCCCTGCCAGCCCAACGGATATCGCTGGAGAAAAAAGGCTCTAGAATCCATGCACGTGGCGCACGCACACCTAATTCGAATGCACATGAGCAACACATCTCGAAAAACAACAGTTACAGGTAAGTAACCATTTTTTATTTTGGAATAATGTCCATTATTTTGAAATAATGCTGTTGTGTAGACATACCCCGAGTGTAATGTGTGCACAGAAAGTACTTGATGATGATGTAGTAGGATAAATTATCACCCTGGCTACGTCTACACTGGCATGATTTTCCGGAAATGCTTTTAACGGAAAAGTTTTCTGTTAAAAGCATTTTCAGAAAAGCGCGTCTAGATTGGCAGGACGCTTTTCCTCAAAAGCACTTTTTGTGGAAAAGCGTCCTTGGCCAATCTAGACGTGGTTTTCCGCAAAAAAGATCCGATCGCCATTTTCACGATCGGGGCTTTTTTGCGGAAAACAGTACTGTGCGGGAGCAGCATAGTATTTCCACAAAAACACTGACGATCTTACATGAGATCGTCAGTGTTCTTGCGGAAATTCAAGGACGCGCTTTTCTGCAAAAAAGCCCCGATCGCCATTGTCGCGATCGGGGTTTTTTTGTGGAAAACAGTACTGTGCTGTTTATACTGGCCCTCTTGCGCAAATGATTTGCACAAGAGGGCTTTTGCCCGAACGGGAGCAGCACAGTATTTCCGCAAGAACACTGACGATCTTACATGAGATCGTCAGTGTTCTTGCGGAAATTCAAGCGGCCAGTGTAGACAGCTGGCAAATTTTTCCGCAAAAGCAGATGATTTTGCGGAAAAACTTGCCAGTCTAGACAGAGCCCCTGAGTTTAAGATGTTTGCATTACAAGTAGTGAATAAAATGCAGAATATACACATGAGCAGAACTATAGAAATACGTATCTTCTAGCACCTCAGAAATCCATTCATAAAATAGAGCTTACTTTTTTTTTTATAAGACTGGAGATATGTCTTCTTAGCACCTCCTGGTTTTTGAAAAGTGCTGTTCAGTGGCTCAATTTTTTTAATTCCTTGTGCATAATCAGAAATTGAATTTAAAAAAAGTCATGAATATGTATCGGTCAAAATATTCAAGTCAGTAATGTTATCAGCTACTTAAATATTTAATGAAAATTGGCAGATTCTTTAGGAGGATATTTTGATGCTCTTCCTCACAGTGAGTAGTATCTTACTCCATGAAGAGTACTATTGACCTCAGTTTGGCTACTTATGGAATAATGTACCACAAAGTAGGAATAAAGGTACTGGAACTGGGAGGGACTTTGAGAGGTCATAAAGTCCAGTCCCCTGCCCTTGTAGCAGGGCCAAGCATCATCTAGATCATGAGTGGGCAATAATTTTTGATAGGGTACCACTCCAAGAATTCAACAAGTGGTCAACAAGTGGGATGCGTAGTCCTACGGATGGGGGTTCCACAGCCACCACCCCCAAAAGGAAACGACGGGTGGTGGTGGTCGGGGACTCCCTCCTAAGAGGGACTGAGCCATCCCTCTGCCGTCTGGACCTGGAATCTCGAGAGCTGTGCTGCTTACCGGGAGCTCGCATTCAGGATGTCACTGAGAGGCTTACTGTGACAGGGCGCCTGCCCTGCACTGGCCCTTTAACACCAGGACTTCGTCCCGGAGCCGGGGCTAGCAGAAAGGAGACCAGCAGGAGCTAGTTAGGACTAGAGAGAGCCCAGCTGGCAGAGATCCAGGACTGCACGAGTGGCTGGTAGAAGCCAGCTGAACCCATTAGGGCGAGTATGAGCACAGCTGGCACGTATATATAGAGAAGCCCAGGTTGCTCAAGGGGGAGGAGAGAGAGGCCAGTGAGGGGCTGACTGTGGAGGAAGCAGGAGCTCCCAGGAGGGAGACCTGCTGGGGATAGCCAGCAAGGGTTGGGAGAAGGCCAGCTAAGGCTACCCTGACTAGGGGACGGAGGCAAGGCCCGGGCTTGGAGGCAGATCACAGCCTGGCTTAGGTAAGCAGGGCCTCGGAGATAATCCGAAATGCCTATGATGAGCATCCCATACAGACTGTAACTTGCCCTGCGAGGGGCTAGATGAGGACAGTCAGGGGGCACTGAGGCACACTGGGGTGCGGACCCCTGACAGAACCCCTGACACTTACCAAGCTGATCAAACCTTCGGATCGCTACCCCTTCCTGCTTCTCCATGTGGGAACTAATGATACGGCCAAGAATAATCTTGAGCGTGTTACTGCAGATTATGTAGTGCTAGGAAGAAGGATCCAAGAATTTGGAGCGCAAGTGGTATTCTCCTCCATCCTCCCTGTTGAAGGGAAAGGACTGGGCAGGGATTGTCGAATTGAGGACGTAAATGCGTGGTTGCGCAGATGGTGTCACAGAGAGGGCTTTGGTTTCTACCATGGGACTCTGTTCCGGGCACAAGGATTGTTAGGAAGAGATGGGATCCACCTAACCAAGAGAGGAAGGAGCATCTTCATGGGCAGGCTTGCAAACCTAGCAAGGAGGGCTTTAAACTAGGTTCATCGGGGGATGGTGACCAAAACCCTGAGGGGAGTGAGAAACTCGGATACCGGGAAGAAATGCAGAGAGGAAGGGGCAAGAAAGGAGCTCCCATGTTTCGAATGGAGAAGATAGGACAATCAACTGGTTACCTGAAGTGTTTGTACACTAATGCGACAAGCCTGGGCAAGAAACAGGAAGAACTGGAGGCTCTGGCCCAGACCAAGAAATATGATTTAATTGGGATAACAGAGACTTGGTGGGATGACTCGCATGACTGGAGCGCTGTCATGGAAGGTTATAGACTGTTCAGGAATAACAGGCAGGGGAGAAAAGGAGGAGGAGTTGCACTATATGTAAGAGAGCACTA